TTGAGGAGGCTAGAGTTCATACAAAGCGCCAGCAAGAGAAGTGGGCGAAATATTATAATAAAAAGAGGCGTGAAAATAATGTGAAAGTTGGTGATCTAGTATTAGTTCAAACTCACCCGTTAAGTTCAAAATGTAAAAAAATAGTAGGTAAATTTATGCCAAAGTTTGAAGGCCCATATAAAGTTCTGAGTGTAAAAAATAATAATAATTTAGTAATATTAAAATTTGGTAAAAGAATAACGGTTAATGTGGATCAGGTGAGAATTTACCATCAAAGAGAAGACAGTGTTGCCGAGTCGGAAAGTAACACTAGTAGTAATCATGGTGCAGTGACATCAATCAGGTCAGATGATGCGCAGTCGTCATTGGTGCAATCGGAGAATGATAGGGGTGGTCGTAAAGGATCGAAATCAGGAAATGTAAATGGTAGTAGAGATATAGTTGCGAATAGACGCGATGGAGTAGAGGTGAGAAAAAAACGTGGACGGACGGAATCTACTGTTTCTTCGGGGGATGGCGCGTATAATTTCAGGAAAAAGAGACCTGTATGTACTGAGAGAGAGAAAAGAGGAAGGCCTGAATCATGGATTGACAATGTACGGAAGAAGAGACCAGAGGCCCAAGCAGATCGTGAGAAAAGAAAGATTTCCTCGTCAATGTCCTCTCGTCCCTCCAGGAAGCGTTATAGAAAGGTGGAAGAAAATAGTTCTGAAAGAGCAGTTCCAGGACCATCCCACAGATTCAAGTATAACAGACCTCATCAGGAAAGGAGCTGTCCATACAATCTTCGGAGCCGACGTCGAGTGGACAACAGCCAAGTTCCAGTTCTCACAGAAGAAAACAACGCCTCAGCAGGAGCATATCAACTTCAACGGACTCGATGGAAGAGGAGACCCAGAAGTTGGAGCGCAGAGTGGACAACCTAGGACAAGGTCATCCAGCACAGAAGCCATGGTGGGAGACAAAGCCTATGCAGATTGGATCTAAAGACTAGTCAGGTTGTATAATTCTAATTTGTTTATTTTTCCTCTGACAGACAGTTCGGAGTATTTTCCATGTGGGCTAGTCTAATTTTTTTGTAAAGTTAACGTACAAAAGTGTCACTGAGTTGTGTGCATTTTCATATCGGTTGAAAAGACTTTTGTATTAATTTTTTTCCAAATTGTGGAAAAACATTTGTTGAATTGCAATTGTTTTGCTACACATTAAAGACGTGGCTTTATATGTGAGATTACTTGTATTGTTTGTTGTAATATATTCTATGTAAAATGTATATATTTTGTGTGTAATTATTAAGATGTATAAGTAATGTCTGGTTTCTGGGCGCGGCGTAATTAGGAATACTAACAAAAACATTAACAGCGCAGCGCGATTGATTGGGAATTTTTGAAAATGAAACCAGATAAGGGTTATTTTGTTACTAAACTATATATATATAATATAATGTATGCCATATTTTATGTCAATAAGGAAGTTGTATAAAAGTTCTGTGCATTTAATGTCATGTTTTAGAAAAAATTGACAAGGTTTCCTTTCAGGGCAGCAGTCCCTGAACATAGTGATGTGATGAAAGTTTGATGTCGTATGAAGATAACGTTGTAAATTTTTTTTGTATTTATTAGCACTTAAGTAAAGTGCATGATCAGGGTTTTTTCCTTGAAAGGTTTTCCCCTGATCTTCGCCCGAATGGGATGCACTGTAGGGAACCTAATATTGTGAAAGAAAAATAAATTAGAGTGGAGTACCCTTTTGAGTAGTCATTTCTGTGTGCTAGTTTAATTAAAGTTTCTAACTTAGAGAGTTAAAATTTTCTGCTAATTCAGTGTTTTCAGGCATTCTAAAGTTCGTGAGTTAAAACTTTCTACAAGTTCAGTATTTTCAGGCGTTATAAAGTTCGTGAGTTAACTTTTTACAAGTTCAGGCATTCTAGAGTAGTTAAAATTTGTGCAGGTTCAGTGTTTTTCAGATGTTAGGTAAATTAAGCGAATTCTTGCAGGTCGTTTAGACCGTCAATAAGTCACGCTTTTTTTCTCGGAGGGGGGTTGTGACGGGTGCTTACGCGTTTCACTAACCTTCTCTTATAAACTTTTAAATTGTATTTATTTTGACCAATCCCCACTGAGAGCTGGAAGTGTGACTTATGTAAATAAGATAGTTTCGGGTTTAGCGAGTTCGAAAGAGATATAAAAGGGAGAAATGAAATGAAGAGAAAGAGGATGACTAAGCGGTTTGATAGAGTAGAACTCCGTGTTTGGGATTGAAAAGTAAACTACGTGGTTGTCTAGGAAGGTGTTTTTAACCGTCTAGCTTAATGAAGTGAAATTTGAAGATTATTGAAAAAGATTCCTTAAGGCGGTTCAGAAGTTATTGAAGATATCCTAGATTATAGCCACTTCATAAATTCTACTCGTTCCAGGTTCCTTCTGAAGAAGATTTCAGGTCTGTAACTTTTGTGGATTTAGATTTAAATGTGTAGTTTGATTGTACGTGTTATTCCCCTCGTGATATCAGTTAGTATTCCGTCGTCCATAATTGAATTCTGATAATACTCCATGATAATTTATTGTTCTTAAAGTTGATTATTAATTGTGGATTTCTGTCTTAAAGAAATAATAAATAAGTGATTTATTATTTGAGTAGTCTTTAATTATGAATACTACATATCCTAACATAGATAATATGCAAGGGGGTAGTGGAGACTACGACAAGGTTAGTTTAACTTAATGTTTTTCTCTAAAATAAAATAATGTTTTTGAAACCATTGTTACTATATTCCTCTCTTTAAAAACTCCTCCCCAGAGGCATCACTCAATTTTAAAAGTATAATTGGTTTTTCTAGTTTATAATTGTATTTACTTGTAGTTCTTTTTATACCAAAGTTAGATCGTGAATAATATAGATAAAAATTTATTGGTATATTACGTGTGTGTGTGCGTGCGTGCGTGCGTGCGTGCGTCCGTAGTGCGAAGAAAGAAAACAATGAAGGAACAACAAGTTCAGATATCGGTTAAATAATGAGAATGGGCTGCTTTTCATATGCCCTGACACCCACATTGTATAATGTAAAACATTTGAGATATATAGATGGATATTTGAATGTATACGCGTTTTTTCGATTAAAACTTATTCTATGTATAAAAAAAACTACAAATATTAGCCAGTTTCAAGCATTAATTTAAAATTTTTATACTCCTTCATAGTTTACTTAGTTAACAAACAATTAGCATTTTCAGTAACATCCTATATACTAGAAAATATAACTTTTAAATAACGTTAAACTAAAAACAATAGTGCGAAATTTTCAACTTTGAATTTTAAATAATCCAAAATGAGTGAAAAAGAAGCAAAAACAGGACTTCAGATCCAATCGGAGAGATACCAATCTTAATAACACTACCTCTTACTTTAATCTCAGTTTTTATTTATTTCTAACTTGATTATTGTGAAAACAGTTCCAATAACTCCTCTTATTCTAACACTTAAACTGTTTCTGCTTTGAAAAGATTTCACTCTAAGCCCAAACAACAAAGAAAAGAAAGAGCTATGTAATCCTTTTATGGGTCAATTCAGCGCTTCAGTTTTCTCATGACGATTCTCTGTCTTTAACTGAAGGAACACCGTTCATATCGCAAAGGTAGTTTTATCTTGATTGTCTCAGCTACGGAGCAACTTGCAGAGGTGGTTGTTGGAAAAAGAACTGCTCTGAAATAGAAGCCAAAATTTTATTCAGCTTTCTGGGTGTATTTCAGTTTTACTGCCCAAAACGCAAGGCATTAATTTACGGCTACAGAGAGCAAAGATGATTAGTTATATAGTTACTCTTATTCTTCCGTTTCTACTTCCTGCACTCACGAAGGAAAATCTAAACTCATTTCCCGTTAATGCATCGTAAGAGGAGTCTAACTTAATTATCATTATTGTAAAACTCGTTTTATAATAAAGACTTTAAGGAACTAAGGCTTAATGTCCCGGTGAATATTTATTCAAAAGTTAATTCAAACTTTGAAATTCGAAAGGTCTGAACTTTTTCTTTAAAATAGTAGAAATTTATTATCTTTGGCAGTTCTAGCTCCAGACAAATGAATCAACCGGAGACAATGTTACATGTCTGTTTAGTTAAAACGGTAATAGACTGATATATTGTGAAAACTGTAAATATAATAAAATAAAATGTGCTTACAGATTCAAATGTCTAATATATTTTGTCATGTGTATTTTATTTATTTTTGGTATCATTTTTATTTCGGTATACACTTAATCTTAAATTTTCACTGTTATTCAATGGAAAATTAACGCAATAGAAGAGATTGATTTGCTCATCATCCTTTTTTATTCACAAATAATTCGAATATTTTATTCACTTACTTTTAATTATATGTTTTTCTTTCAGTTGTTGTTTTTTTGGTTGGTTTAATGGAGAAATCCACTGGTGAGTAACTTCTTCAGACCCAAGGTACACATATGTGTACTTGTGATTTTAATTTCATATCTTTAATGGATGAAAACAATCCATTGGAATTTTTATTTGATGTAGATGATTTCCAGAAGTTGATGGATCATATAATTATCACACATTTAGCAGGTGTAGTATTCGAATTAGAGGTAACTTTTCAGGTGCACCCCTCCGGTTGTTATTCGGTTCCAGATGTAAATGACATTCAAACTGAAATTTGGCGTGAAAAGTTATTTTTTCAATTCTTACTATTAGTTCACACTCTCCCTATATATATATATATATATATATATATATATATATATATATATATATATATATATATATATATATATATATATCTTGTTAAAATTTTCAGCCGTTAATAAAATACTTTTGGTCGATCCACTCAAGTTCAAATATATTTTCTTTAACTTGTAGGGGACACTTGATGTTAATACAGTTTTTTCAAATATTAATTCCTTAATTAAATTTAATTAATGAATAAATAGTAATAAACAAAAATAGTAGTTCAACAACATATATAAAAAGGAAAATCACTCCGTGTGTCCCTGAAGCGCAATGAATAACGTGTTTAATTTCTAATTCAAAGATCGTGGGCTCGAATCTCACCTGGGACGGCCTAGTTTCTGAGAATGTGATTTCTTTTTACTATACTAATTGGAATAATTAAATTTAATTAATGAATAAATAGTAACAATCAAAAATAATAGTTAAACACCATACAGTAGAACCTGTTTCTGTGCAGTCCTTTTTTATGCGATTTTATATTTGTGCGATTTTTTCTGTACTTCCATTTTTTATTCGGTATATGAATTTTAACGGCTTTGGTGCCACTGTAATGTTTTCTATAAATGTACCAGTGGCGATCGTAGAATGTTAAGGATTTCCTACAAAGTCAGACATTGCTTTTAATATTTTATAAGTTGGGTAAATATGTACTTGGCGTTTGTCAGGTCTTCGGCCCCCTAGAGACCTGTCTTCTCCCCTCGAGGCAGGGGTTGCGCGGGTGTACGTTACGCCACTGTAATGTACATATATACACTTCAAGACGCTCTCTCTCTCTCTCTCTCTGTTCATTTGTTACAAACAGTCTCCCGACAATACACGTTCAGTTGCTTTCTCTCAACCCGAAAACTGCCCACGCTTGATTAAAGACAAAACTTTCAATGTGTGACTGTGGCATTATCAATAATTTGATAGGTTATGTAGCCGGACAAGAAAACTCAGATTCTTTGAGACCTGATAAAATATATGCAGGGATACAACTTTCCAACAAATTGGGAAAGCATTTTCTTAAAATAGACACCAAATCCGAAAGGAGTATGAAATTTCACAAAGAGCTTCAATCACGCATCTCTGGTTATCGGGACATTTACAAGCATCTGACCAACCGACCTTCGTCGCAAAAACATATCTCTTACTGTATGGTGCCAAAAAATAAATCAATTGAAATTGAATCTTCAAGTGACGAAAGCGATTTTGAACTTTTTCATCACAGGAAGATGAGTTTTTTGATTACAATGAGTAGCAGTGAATTATGTATGTGTATTTTAAAAACTTCTCCATGTATACAATGCGAAACTAAATGTTTTTAAAATGTTACCATGCGTAATTAAATTATTTATTTTGTTGTGGAAGTACTTTCTCATACAAACAAATTTGCATCAAAATGTAAATATGAAGGTTTTAAATCTAGAATTCGTGTTTTATGTACTAAATGCAATTTTTTTTTTGTACCTTTGCTTACAAAAAAAATAATGGCTTTGAAAAATTTCATTTGAAAACTTAATTATTATGCATTTCTTCCATCTTTAAAGAAGATTTGCTAAACTAAACGTAATTGAAAAAAATTGGATATTTTTTTATTGTTGCAGTTAAGACCTGAGGTGTGCACATATGTGCATCTTTCAACATGGCAAAACTACTAATAAAAATTTTATTTTTTCCTTGCATTTGTACTTCTGACAATACTATTAAAAAATCAATCTCTTAAAAAATTTTCCTCATTTAAAATATGTTAGGCCTGAAGAGGTTAATCTAGCAATCGCAAAGGAGAAAACTTACCAAGAACTACGCAATTCAGCTCTAATTTTCAACTTGAAACAATTTGTTAATAATTTTTTCTTAACTTTTTTTTCATTTAAGAGAATAAATCAATAACGTGCACTGTTGATATATGTAATGTACACAAGCAATAGCACTACATGTAATATAAGTATGTAATGTATATCATATTGAATTCCTTTTATATGCTTCAAAATATTCTCTATTTAATAATTATTTTACTTTTATGAGTGCGTGTGCACGCGCAGTTTCACAAATTTTAAGAACACTAATCTCATTGAAACCTAGCGAGATATATGACCGGGGTCATTTTCGAATGAAGCACCATCACTCTGTGGAGCCTGTTTAGACTAAATTGGTCTCCAAATCTTTAGTCACGTGGTATGGAGGTTAGAATATTGTACACAAACATCATTTTCATGATTTGACCCCCTGATCTGGCATCCCACTTTCCACACTTCGACGCCACGTCAAAGTGAGGACTTTGTGAGTGCTTACAGATTCAACATAGATCAGCCTCTTCACACGGAAGATCCTCATTGACACCAAGGCTCAAACTCCTGTCATGCCATCCACGAGTACGTGACCTTGGACTAAAATGGCCTTATTTTCTTTTAAACCATTTAGTACATAGGTTCTCAACGTGGGCGATAACGCCCGCTTGTGGGCGTTTGAGACTTTCAGGAGGGCGGTAAGAAACCCAGAGAAAATGGGAAGGCGTTGAGATGGCACGGAGGGGTTTGGGCAGATTAACGAAATATAGTCTATAAAAGACTAAGAAAACGCTGATTATTACAAAAGTAAACTTTAATGCTGTTTACCTTATGTTGATTGTATGTATTCAAATCATTTCTATATTACATGTACAAAAATTCCCATATTTCGGTAGTTCGGGAAGTGGATGAAAACTTAAATATTACATTACATTCAGACCTACATTAAACCGAATGATATAGTAAATTTTAATTTCTGTAGTGCACGTGTGGTTTTTGTCTGTGAGCAGTAGGGAAAATGTTTCGTCCACTGGATTTCATTACGAATATTATCCAAGAAACATAATAAAATATGTTAATCAAGAATTAACGTGATTCTTTAAAGGCTGAAACTGTCAATTTATATTTATCTTCGTATCATCGAAACCCCTGCCTGTCTTTATAACAGGTAAGCTAAAACTTTTATTCCACTCTTTTAAATGACGAAGAAATTCAGTAGCGTTTCAATTCCAACAATATCCTATCTATGACTAAAATGTATAATATTACACAGTTAATTATATTTGTGGCAACAGCTATTTCAGATTCGCAAATAAAAAAAATGGAGCTTTAGAAAAATTAAATTAAAAAATATTTTTTATTAGTTATAGGATATGTTTAAAACTTAACTTTTGTTTTCACCATGTATTAAGAACACTTTTACTCCTGTAGAGTGGGAGGGGGTGATATCGAAACATTCACTAGAAAAGTGGGCGCTAGCTCAAAAAAGGTTGGGAACCTATGATTTAGTAGTTATAACTATACAATTATAAAGCATTAATTTAAACAAATCATTTTCTGTAACTATCTAATTGGGAATTACATTGATGTCCATTAAGGTTATAAACCCAAAATCTATGATAACTGGAGAAATATTCGGTTTATTGTAACGAAATTTGGCTAAAAGATATATTACTATGGCAGAGATCATATAAAGCATCATAACAATATAGCTGTGAACTCTTAAAAGTTTTTGTTTCTCCTCCATTCGATATCACTCAGAAATGTATCACAATAACAAATAAAGCTAGCAGTCTCAAGCTTGGGCGAAGATAGGACCAACCTCCTAACGCACAGCTCGCTTCTTCCTGTTTTCATTTCTACTACTCTGTTTTCATATTTGAAGATGTGGGTTGGAGAAA